GGGAGTAGCATGTTTTAGATATTGGTAGTGTCATTCCATTTACTGTAGGTTGAAAAACGGATATTAGATATTTCTAACGATAATTTCGTACAACTACATGTTGTAATAGTGCAATGTCCACTGATGTGATTAAATTCCATTATTTATTTCAATATAAGACATTGCATTTACTTATGCTCCGTTTGTCACACCTTTTAAGTTGCTTTATAGTAGTAGGCTATAGATTTCGAAGGTCATTCGCATTGTCGTTTATGAACAAAATAAACAGCCTAGGCCTCAATACCGAGCCTAGAGGCACACCCGAAGTTGTAAAATCATTTGTTCTATATCCTACATATTGAACAAACTGATTCAACCATACAAGTACGACTGAAGAAATCAAATATTGCATAAGAAAATGTCAATGAAAAAAGAAATAGATAAACTGTCGCATAAGACTTAAAATTATTTTGTGGTACAGACCCCTACATATCTCGTAGCTTAAGCACATCAAATTTTGGAGTGCTAAGAACCTTTTATACATCTTTACACAAATAAACATTTACCGTAGTATTTTACAAGTAGAGAAATCATTATCTGAAAGACAGATCACCATGGCCTGTTGAAAAGTGAAAGTTGTAAACAAATGTGTAACGTCTCTCATCCTTTTTATGTTTGCCAAAGGTAAACTCATACAAATGGAGATCGTCCAAGAATTTTACAACGATGCACGTTGTGTAGAACATAAAACAGATTTTGTGTAGTAACATATTCTGATCAATGTTTACTACTAGAAGAGCGTAAACATGTGCGAGGATTGGAAACGGGTGTATATTTTTGTTGCTGCGGTTTTCTGACATTCGCTAAATGAAAGATATGCATGTTTGTAAGTCACTACTTATGCTACGATTCCTCCAAAAATATACAACTACTTTAGTATGTAATCCTTATCATTTTTTGTACACTCTGTTAAATCTCCCATTATAAATTTCGGTACGTAGTAATGGTTCAGGAATCGATAAAAATCACTCGATTTTCGAATTTGTTTATATCAGGGAGATTAATAAACTACATTATAAACACCGTAAGTTACCCAGAATGTTTAGCTGAAAAAATATTTATTAGTTCAGTGACTTCAACTTGTTTAGTCGTAATTTTGTAAACTGTTATTTATTTACTTTAGAAGAAATAGAACATAAACAGTGTAAATATTTAGTTACTTGGAATGGAGTACTGATAATGCTTTATGTTTGTTACACATCGATTTTACCTGCAAGTTCTATCCGATTTCCATCTTTGAATCAATTTTCTCCGCTCAAGCCAATCCGTTCGCGCAGAAAGAAAAAACAAAAGCCTTTGTTTGTATAAGAAATTCAAACTGAGCGGTATAAAGACGTTGAGCAAATACAATTTACTGGATTTGGCCCTCGTTCCTTTCTCAACAACGGATTTACAGTTTTACTTCAACGGGTCACGTTCTGTTCAGAAAAATACCAGCCTTTACTTTAAAATCGTTTAACGGGGTCTACTTTGAATAACAATTTTTGAAGGAAGGCTCTTCCGCTCACAATACCTTTCAGTGCGAAGGATCACGAAATTACAAATTCTATGATTACGATAACACGATCGGGAATAATTCTAGTTTGATTCAACTGATCCATGAAGATTTTATCGAGAACTTAAAAGCTGATACTATCTTCGTCAAAATCTAACTAGGCGTTTCGTCATATTGAAAATCCTAAGACTTATTGTAACAAGTCTCGGTGTTTGAATTCGTTGACTGTCAAGTCAAGCGTCACTTGCGGTTGAAAAAACCCGGTCTAGTTCCACGGGAATCATTACAGAAAAGACAAAAAAACGAACAAAAGATCGAACGCCATACAATTGAATTTTATACTATTCGTGGTTTGAACTGTAGCTTTTTTACCGACAATATTTGGAGGTCGAATTTGTCACTGTTCCCGGAAATAAATTAAACTTTTGGGTAATTTTTATTACGAATTTTTGTTCGTGTAAAAACTGGTGTCATCGTTCGCATTGACAGAAGCATAGTCATGAAAATACTAAACCTTTCTTAAATTAATGTGTTATTCAATATTAACGTGGTTTCCAGAGTGCTCTTATCACTGTGGTTTATTATTTGCATCAGTGCAAATGGTGTTACCTCTTTATAAAATATAATTATGTATATTTAAAAGCTGCAGGAACTTTATAGACTTCTTTCCTAAATCACGCATTATCTAAGATCTTAAACGGTCTTTAAAATTCCTTTAAAAGTCGACTTATCCGATACCCTAGCCCACACGAGCCTTAAGCCACTTAAGCCTTATTACGTATGGAAATATTTATAATTCCTTCGAGAAATATTCTCCTAAACACTAGGGTGATAGGGTTGGTTGAGTGTCCGGGCCCAGAAACCAAACAATTTGTCACTTAAATAAAATATCGATGAATTGAATAGGTGAAAAGAAAAATACTATTAATTGCATCCTTAAAATGCATAAATAGTTTAGCTTAGATATTTTTTTTTTGGTTTTTAATTATAAATAATAATTAATGACTTGCTTCAGCTTTCAAAGCTGTTTCGAAGTTTTAATTTTTTTTATCTTAAAGTATTAATAAACATATATTTTTTCGATACATCTGGACTACGTCAGGATAATAAAAGCCATCCACGGTAGATTCTAAAACAAACCCAGCGCGAGGAAATAAAATAAACAATTTGGCTCGGCATCGGCCTCACGGAATATTTACGACGTTTTTTGTATCTTTAGTTGGGATTAATGTGTTTTAAGATAAAACACATGTGTATAAAGTAACCTGGTTTTTATTCAAATTGTATCTAACTGTTTAGAGTGCTCGCGTCTGTTTATCAAAACACAAGCGAACGTATAAAAAACACGAAGCAGCAATTTGTCATTCGGATACAAAGGGCTTCTTGGGGAGCTGTATAAACATTTCCAATCAGGAAGAGATTATGAAGTGAGTCATTGTCCATTTCCTGTTGTATTTTTAATGACGTTTTTAAATTTATTTTGGTGAAATGATAAGGCAGTGCTGTAGTAAGAATTTTTGGATGGCATTTTGGAAAATAGTAAAAAAAAACTCTTTTCCGTCTGATGCAAATTATCATTAAAGTACATATTAAGAAATATTAGCTAATATTGTATTATTATAAAATATTTTAAGTCGTAAAAGACACGAAAGTTATATCATAATTAATTATGGGAGTAATAAAATATGTTAAATGTTTGAGTAGACATTTAAATTAGAATTAGAGACACGAACACCAACAAATCTTATAATAACGATCGTGTTCTTTGCCATTTCCTATTATAGTTATTCCAGTCATTCACCCTTCCACATCTAAGACCATATAAGCAAATAATATCTATAAATTGTATTGTACTGTCACAAATTTTAACTTCGAACGGCATTGAAAAAATTAAATCTCAAATTAAATCAGTATCCCAGATATATCTTCGTCTCTAAAAAATTATGACGCGAAACTGTAAAAAAAAAATTCTTTGACATTTTGACTTTTTCATTGCTTTTACTGTTTACTATTACCGTGCATTTAGATGCTATAAGATTATACAAGGCGTTAACCAACAACCTATTAAAAATAACGTTTTTTTCCCTAATTAATTACTTCCAGAATTGTCGTGGTTAAAGTTGTGGACACCCTGTAGATATTGATTTTCTGACAGATAAAAAAAGCTTCAAGGAAAATATTGTTTTACCTAAATTATTAATACTTGTTTTTAATTTGTGTTCATCAGATATATTTATGATTTGATTAAATATTGAGATAAGAAAGATGTATAATACTAAAACTGACTAATATTTATTAATCAATTACGGTATTGCAAATTACGTTTTTGCATCAAATCGTCGTTTAAAAATCAGCAAAAATTTACAATAACATGAGAAACACCTCATGTTTATTTGTGTAATAGGGAGATGGATTTTGTGGCGATGTTCTTTTTTATCTGGACGTTGATAACTTATTTTTGGTTTGTTTAAGACAAGATTCATCGTATATATTTATAATCTGACGTAAGACTGAGATAAGACATACAACAATAGAATTGACACATATTTTGATTAAAGCAATTAAATATCGATTTCGGTATAACAAAAAAGTCTGATAAATAGTGTGCCAATATTATTACTCTTAATTCTAAGGAAATTTTATTTGTCATTTTCTCGATTAGCCTGCTACACATGATATAAAAGCTTTGTTCATCGAGATAAGTGAGAAATGTGTTGTCATATTCATTATTAAAAAACGTCGTTAGTAAGTACATCTACAGACCTAAAAATTTTAAATTTTTACTAGACAAGACGTCGGAAAGTTTTTGACAGATGTCGAAGATAAAATATCTTTAACTACAGAAGTAGCTATGATTATTGGAAGTGTTTTTTTTTTTTCATATAGAAATAATAATACCAAAAGCAACAAATCTCTTTCTTGAATTTCAAAAGTTACTATGCATATTTCCTCGATGATATTACTACTATCACAATGAATTTCATTATAATCCTAGTACAACATCATAATTATAGTATGCTAACAGATAAAGATTTATATTGGATTTGGATTAGTTCAGAATTTTTTTTATCTGTGTACCTACTATTTGAGACATCTATCTACCGCCTACACGATCGATAGTGTCAGTTTTTTGGAATTCCCTTTAAAAATATGTGATTCTTTTAATAGTTTTTGCTTTAATTTAAGTGTTAAAATATGCCTAAGGTTTACATTTGTCAGACAATTAAAAATCTAAGCCACTAAATTACCTATCCTGAAATATCTACGCATATTTATAAAGCCAGTAGCAAATAAAACCGTGCAGGAAACTTTTTACCACCGTTTTCCGTCGTAAACCTGGTAATTTTAATTTAAATTTACAGCCTTTATTTAAGGGAACATTTTTATATCTGTTTTTTTTTAGGCATTCAATATTAATACTTCTAACAAAGCTAGTAAAAAGCGCCGTAATGGGCCAGATCCCTACCTGCAATAAAACTTATAATCCACAGCGGGCTGCACCACACAAAGACAACATAAAATCTCACATCCGATTCATAAATAAGTCCCGCGGAATACGTACGGAGGACCGTAAACCTCTCTCGCGTTAAGCCGCCGCCGTAGTCGTAAAAACTCGAGCCGCAACCTCTGTCCGCCGCACTCCAACCATCGGAACGCTGCACTAAACCCGAGACTCGCCATCCAATGGAGAAGAGCCCCTGCTGCCCCCCACCATCCGCGGATCTGCCCCCTCCACCTGGACCTGGCCCATCTGATTCCCAAATCTGCCTCGCGCCGTCTGCTCGGGAGGGTTGTAGCTCCTGCGGTCGCTGCCTCTGGGGATGAGGATTCGCAGCTTTGCGCCCAGGGCTGCGGGTGTCCGTAATCGGGATGTATGGACGCTCTGAAATGGTTTTGTTCTCTTGGTCTGACAGTAAAGATAAAGCGAAGACTAAGGGGTGGTTCTTTTCCTGACGATGCAGGTCTTTTATTGAGAGAATTGGCTAGGAAGAAGAGCACCAGGTATAAATACATTCATTTTGGTCAAAGATTGCACCTGAAATCAGAAAATGTTGTTTTCGATACATTCAAATTTTAAGACAAAATAAAACTTCTAGAAGTCCTACCCTTTGACTTGAATGCTTAGAGCATTCCCATCTATGTGTTAAAATAATCCCTAAAGATTCACAAAGCTTGATCGTCCATATTTTCATCTTCGCCATGAACGGGTTCCAGAAAAAAATAAGAAAATTAGATGTGTTTAACTAATGTTAATAACCTGCGATTCAGTCCACTGCAGAGACCTCAAATTCCTAGAAGGTAAACGTTGGTTGTCTTTAGTTGCACTCCACGCCAAGTACCTCAATATTGACCCTCTCATTTACAGTTTCCACTGAATTTTCGAAATTAGTATTCGGGTGCAAGTTGACCTAAGCTACCAGAACAGAAGACCGCCCATTGTTTAACAATTTTAAGCTGTTCCAGTTGTCCTCTCGCTAAAGTTGTTCTTTGTGAGACCTTTTTCTTACACTTCCAGTGAAATGATTACAAATTGTTTACTCAACCGATTGTCAGCTTGTTTTCTTACTTAGCACGTCCTAAAACGCAGACACCATTGTTTGAGTGAGAGCAACTATTTTTCTGGGAATCATAAACAAAATACAGGTAGTTGCTTATAATAGATTACTACGAATGCGCAAAAGTTTAAAACAATGTGCGTACGGGAAATCTGTAACACAAATCTAAATATGGTAGAAAATGATATAATCAAATGAAATACAAATCCAAAAATCATGTTTTTTTATGTTTATTTATTGGTATCCTGCGCTGTTACTGCCCCCGATTCTGTTTCCTCATCGTTGCCCGTATTTGGCAAACGCTAGAGAACAGTTCAGTCCTCTTTTGAAAACATTTTTACAGTTTAGTCAGGTCTTAAATGAGCATTATCATACCCACAAGGGATAATGGAAAGTCCTCAATAAGGCAACCTGTCCACTTCTGGCACATCTGCTTCGCTGGTCCCTGTCAGTAAATCCTGTTTCCTTCACGTTTCGCCTTTTTGTTATTCAAAGTCGTTGGCCATTACCAGTCGGAACCTCGGTAATCTTAAAGTACAAGGTAATCCTATCAGCGAAGTTTGTAAGTACATTATGGCAACTCGTTAATTGGAAGATAATGGAAGTTGTGCGCTGCACAGTTCGTTTTTGATAAACACAAACATTTAGAGGGAAAGATTATGCTAATCTTAAAATTAATTTTAAAGAATTCGCAAAATATTCCAAAATTGGTAACGACTGTATCCAATATTCTATTGGAAAGGTGGTTAAAAAAATGTCAAGTTTTTGTTACTGGTTTATGTACTTTCAATATACTCTATGAAGTGGTAGAAAAAGTATACAGGGTGAACTTTTTAGAGATAGCTTAGAATATTTGGATTTTCCTCAATGCGGCCTGGAAATTTTGGAATTCTGACCTCAAAAGTTCGTTGATAATAATCAGTGACATTTCGTGGATTTTCTAACCCAATATTTTGCCCCATTTCCCCATTAAAGTCATTGCGGATAATTCTTTGGAGATCCTATGGCTTAATATTTTTCTAAACTTGCTGATTACTCACAGAAAATATCCAAGTTGGCAGTATAGAATACGAACAACAACTGATAAAATGTGATCGCAACCACTCATTAATCAAATCGTTACTCAGCTGTCCGTGACTTCTGTGTAAATATTTAGATCAGCATTGATGTTAGGCTATCAGCAGACCTTATTATGAACAGACTTATTTGTCCTTATGTTCTTTACCGATAAAAAAGCTGGGGTCTCGCTATCACAGTAAGCATGCATATTTTTTCAATAGTCGCGACAATATCGACGTCTCCAGAGCTTTGAGAATCGTCACTCAGCATAAGTAGTTGGGGAGCGATGTTTTAAAGAGATAACGAAAATTGTCAGATGATTAGCAGACGCTACTTCCGGGGAACCATTTCCTATGACGAATTTTTTCAAGATAACCGCTAGGTTGACAATTGCATAAAAAAAATTATGAAGAGGCGGGATTGTACGATGAAATATTTCAAACTACCCAAAAATTTTAATTGGGTGCAAGTCATCCTGAAGCTCATTCCAGAAAACACACCCTACCTTAAAAATAATTAACTCCCATACCTGTTGGCCATATTTTTTGTCTGTACTAATTTAATTTATTGCAGTTTTCTATAAGACAGGTAGTTTTTTGGTAGTCGCGACAGGTGGGTGAATTTGTTACAGATAAAGGTTCGATACAATATCGACACCGACAAAGGGTCTGTTCAGAAAACATAAAATTGAATTTTGTTTGTCTGCTGCTAGATGTTAATGGATTTTGCCCTTATTTACTACATTCAGCTGTTGGACAGGATGTTTCGCGTTAAGTCAACGAGTTTCTCTTATTTTGCCATGTTCTTCTTTAATATCAAATATCTGCGTTTGCTGGAAGCATAGATTAAAGTCAATGGAAATTATTTGCACTTTTGGATGTACATGTAATTACTTTGGGCCAGAGATGTCAGTATTTTAATACAATATTACACTTGACATAGTGCAGAAATAATTGTTATTGCTGTAGTAAACATATTATTGACAGCAATTTGTAAATAAACAAAAGGACCATTGTACGAGAAAAATTGTCTGCTAATATTAAAATAACAAAACTTCTATACGATATGAAATTATTTTAATTTGTAATCATCTATCAAACACAAAACAAATAATGTTATTTACTCTTAAACAAATTTCAGCTCTGTTTACGATAGTTAGACCTTTATTGCCAATTGAGGTTATGGTGACATTTTTTCCAAATCATATTTAACTGAAACCGTTTTGAGAAGTGAAGGGAAATGTCTGTTTCCGACACGCGCCCCCATCAACGTTTGTTTCTGGAATTAACGAATAATTACCCAAGCAGCCCTTATCCAGGATTTGTCCAGGCGATATTAAAAAAGTTGTAACACCAAACAGAGGATTTTAAAACGATAACGAGGGGGCTTATACCAGTCCTGAATATATTTAAACTTTTTGTCCCAAAACTTCTGGCAAACATGGAAGTTGCAGCTCAACTGACGCCCGGCTAATTTCCCGCTATTTTCCGAGCGAAACCGCCAAATCGCGCTTAACATTCTAAGAAATTAATTCCCGTCGCACTGTTTTGACGGCACCCGTTTCACTTTTATGAAATTTTACAAAAGTTTAAATCCCCCTGAATAAGCAGCTTCCGCAATTTTTAATTCAGCGAAAAAGTATTTGCATAATTAGAACTGGTATCAGTGGCATTTACGTTCGAGGAAGATGCGGTATAATACTATCAGTAGCAACTATCGAATGTTGAACTTATTGCAGTTGCTATTAACAATTTATTGATTAAGTGGTTAACGACACGCATCCTTCTGTGACCCATTTATTCAAGCAGAAAGGAAAACGAACTCGCGTTCCCATTTTCGGGTTCGAAATTATTTCGTAATCTGAAAAGTTTTCACATTATCGGCCGATAACGGCTAAATTGCCCCGAACAAAGCAATAATTATCCAATGGCGTGCGAGAAATGGGGATCGATGAGGAGTTATGCATTATTTCTGACTTGGTTCGGTAGGGTGGAATTCCTTCGTGCTGCTTTGTATTATTGTCCGATTTTTAACCAGCGGATGACAGTAATGTCGGGTAATAATCGAAATGACATGACACTTTTAATTAAAATCCTACAGAAATCCTACAGACATAAGTGGATTTGAACAGACAACCAATCATTTACGAAGGCATATAGACTGACATTCGAAAGTGTAGCAAAGTTTTTAAAATTTACGTTGTGGCAACGACAGTCATAGTTAACAGTTTTTATACAATTTTGTTCTACACTGAAAAAAACTGAATTTGAAAATATAATGCACAACAAAACCTTTTTCTTCTATCGATTTCTCCTTGAAAATTCCCGAAAATCACCTTTTCTCCTACACTCAGAATTTTTAGGTAAATGATTAGGTGTGGAGAACACTCCACATCCTTTACTTGCTTATACGACGAAAACTGACATATACGAAAAACGTCCCAGCATCCCCCAGAATCCAAAACTCAACAAACATCCTGCTCAATGACACTAACCGCCTTGTATTTCAGTACAAGTCCTCTAAAAACCACGCTCAATTTCGGCCTAATCCACCGTAAAAGGGAATCGCTAGGTACTTACACTTGTTAGATGCAGATGTGACCCCGAGATTTATTACATAAATCGTCAAATTGGAAACTGTAGTTTATTGCGAGCTGTAAATTACAAAGTGTTTAAACCGGGATCTGTCCGGTAATGGTATTATTGCGCCCCGCTGATTGGCCATTGAAAAGACCGAGCAGTTATTAGTTTTGCTGTAATGATCGTTTCCTTCTTCTCGTGGAGGAAGCAGGGTATAAAAATGCACTTCAACAGGTCCTTTGCGGGTACTTTATAGCGCGGAAGAAATTGTAATTGATTGCGAAAGAAGTAGTAACTACATTTTAATATTCAACAAAAGTTTAATTGTACAAAAAATGGTTGTACACTGTAAAAAGATCGGTGTGAGTGAAAGCAATAAAGGTTCGGAGTACATTTTCACTCAATATTGGGCATTTTGATCATTTTACTCATTTGTGGTT